TTGAAGAAGTTAAAAAAAAAAAAAAAAAAAGAAGAAAAAAAGAAAGAAAAAAGAAGGAAAACCCATTACCAGACATAAATTAAAGCCTGTCTGCTTTTATGTAGTCAAAACCCCAACCAACACAGAACAGTAGTCAGAAGCTGGACCTAATTTCTGGGAAGGAAATTAGAAGCTTATTTTCTGTCTTTCCATAGCTTTGGAGTCCGTGTCCTGATACAAGCCAAATGTTGTCTGTCAGCCTGTTACAGCATGTGCTCTCATGTGCTGCCACACTTTTCATTGCTGTCCCCCTGAGTTAAACTGCTCTGTTCTGCTGCCTTGCTATCTAGGGCTTGAGATAAAAAGGCTCAGTTGCTGCTGCCATGCTGTCTGTCTCCTGCATTTAAATGCTTCTGTATCATGGTGTTTGCATCTGACTATATCTTGGCAGCTTCCAAATAAGACGTAAGAAAACCAAATAAGACTTAGAGAAACCAAACCACCTCTGTGATGATGACTAATCATTTCACAGAACTGTGGGAGGGAAAGAAAAGCGTGATTCTATGGCTCTCAGTTTTTCTCCTGAGAAAAAGCACCACCTCAGAGAGAGGACGGATTACCAGCAAGCACCATCATAGGCACAGCTGTAGCTGGTCAACAAATGCAGCTCTACTACTATATACATTCCGCAAGGATACAAAATTGGATAAAATAAAAATAAAAAATAAAAAAATTGAGTTCTTCTTCAATGTAATGTGTACAGAAACCAAAAAACCTTCCTAGTCTTTGTTTTCTACCTTTCCAGGGAGCAGCAGAGGCTTTGGATTCTATGAAATCTTAAGAAATGCTAATGTCGCCAAAGCCTGAAGGTCTTTAATGCAAAAATGCAGGAATGTTGAAATTCAAAATTTCCAGCGTTATGATTTTACTATCATTCACATATTCTCGTTTTCCTTTTTCTTTAGGGTGCTCTTCGATGTAAATCCAAAGACCAAGTGGCCGCACAAATGGTGTGGAGCAACATGCTCAGTAGTCTAACTGGGAAGGAAATCGCAGTGCCTGGTAAATGCTAGTCGCCATTAGATTATAAGTCTCATCCTAGGAGAGTTTTAGGGCAATATGAAATATCATACATAGAATGTGTCCTTTTTGAGAATAGGTATATCTACAATTTATCGAAAATAGGCTCCCACGAGTATGGCTACCTTTTAAATTTCTTTTGTAATGTTCTGAAATTCGCTCGCCTTCAGTACATTTCTTCAACCTTTCCAACATTTTTTCCCACCTATTTTCATAAAGTTTACAAAGTTAGAGGACAAAAAAAAATGTGGACCCTTTATGACAATATTTGTTTTGGGTGTACTTATTTATAATGTAGAAACCATGTTATCTTGAAATGTAAACAGGACCCTTGGCAAGAATATATAAATGATGCTCTGAACTTGATGATATTCTATAAATATTATTGTTCTTAGGAAATAAAAAAATTTAGATTATGGTTTTACTGTTTAAATTTAGAAGAAAACATTGAAGGTCACAAATCATTTAATCTCTGCTCCCCTCTCAATAGGAAACAACGTAAGCTGAAGATTGCAATCATGTTATAGGAATTTGATTCTCTTCACTGATTATTGAGGGAACACATTTTGTCAAGCAATCTTAATTTAAAAAGTTAAAATTTCACATTGCATTTGAAGAATAAATGGCAAAACTTGCAGATTAATTTGAGGTTTGGAAAAAATATTTTTTCATGTTTCCTTTTCTGAAAGAACTACCTGTATAGCAAGGAGATGCCACATTGCAGTCCTACCTTTCCAGTGCCCTCTACTGGACACTACAGCTGATGAATATGTGCATCTCTACTTCACATTAGCCTGATTTTATTTCTGAATCATAGAATCAAAAGGTTTGACTGGAAGGAATTTGAAAATTCCATCCTTGCTTTCTACTGGGGTCATATCCAAGCCACCCGAGAGAGATGAAAATCTCTTCTGTTTGTCAAGACTTTTAGAAAAGCAAAGTGGCTCAAAACTGTTTAGCTCTGTATTTTTACCCACCTGGCCTCATACCACAGCTACCTTAGTGCACGTTTCATATGATTTAAATTACCGCACCTGCCACAAGGGCCTTTGGTGTACTGCAGTCTATAACACTATCTTTTTTTTATCCCTTAAACACAAAAATGTCACTTTCATTCAGGCTAATTTAATATATCAGTGACATATAAAAATTCCAAGTGTGTTTATCTCCATCGTTTCTTCTCTAGCCATAAAATGGGTGCATATGTACAATGGACATGACATGCTTTCCATTTTTAAAATTTTTTTTCATAGTAAACATCTAGAAGAGAATACGCTCACAAGAAAACAGCCCATGTTGCCTTCTAATGAGATTCATTTTGTTACATTTTAATGCGAAGGACAAAATATCCTTTATTATTAGACTGGAATTCAGTAATTATCAATATGTAGCATTTGTCCATAATGCAGCCTTTATTATGTTTTTGGTGTGTGATTGATCTCCAAAATATTATTAGCAGGATTTAAAACAAAATGAGTCAAAAATTCTGGCTTAAGGGAATCTACAGGCTCTCCCTGCTTCTCTTTCCTTCCTTTGGTTAGTGATAGAATTTGTTAATTGGAAGCATTAAAAGGGATGAAATTTGGTACATTTAAGAGCTGCTTTTGATTGAATTTGACTCCCTGGACATTAAAATATATCAATTCATGGCAAACCTATTCTGTCTCTTCTCTTTCAGAAATTTGCTGAGGCTGCTCAGTGGTCTCCTGACTGTGGTCAAAGAATGAAGTCACCACTACCCTCCGCAACCATCTAGCTAGTTCATAACTGTAATACCCTAGGAGTATCAACTTCTGGATATAACATCTTTCAGTTTTCCGAAATTACTTTATTATTTCTTATAGGTTGCAGCAAATCAACTATTACAATGATCAATTAAAAAAGTACCAGATAAAATATCCACACACAGCAGTTAAAAATAGTTTTAAAGAGTTTGGTTTGTTTCACTCTCTGTAATCATTTTTGACAAATATTCTATTGCAAAATGAAAATAATACAGAGGAAAATACAGGAACCTTTAACTTAAAATCAAACTTTGTTCAAAGCTAGTGGAAGACCAACATCCTGATCATATCTTTCAGAACCTCTTGAAGTGCAAATTTAGTCAGAGGGCCAAATATAGAAAGCTGATCTCAACCAAATCTTCAAATGGACAAAACGTTCCCTTGGATTTGATAGGGACTGAATTAGCTGCCAGGCTACGCGTGAACAGACGTTGAGTGCTTGATTCAGTTTCTGTGCTTCAAGGCAGAAAAGTCTCAACATTAGATCTTATGTTAGAGTTCTAAAATTATGTTAGGGTGGGGCAAACTTAATCCAACTTTCAAAATTATTCAAGAGAGCAATGTTTTTGATCGGTTTGTCATGTTTATAAATTTTGTGATAATATAATGGACAACAAAGGCCTAAAGCTGGAAGCTTTGTCACCCTCTGATGGACCCAAAATTATAATCGTTTACCTTTTTGTTGCATTAAGCTACCAACTGCTATTTACTAACTGCATATGGAACTAAAAAATGCTGAAGAAAGCCTGGTAGACTGAAAAAGTGTTGAATTGAGAGTCAAAAGAACTGAATTTGACATTTTATGTTTTTTGTTTATTTCTATTGCTGTCACTACATGTTTCAGTGTCCTTGAAAGCAAGGCATTTTAATTAATTAATTTATTTATATTTATTTTTTTTTACTATACAATGAACTGTAAAATTTTACTTTTTAATTTGTTGAAAATACACTGTTTACAGGAACATCAAAAACATGGAACACCACGCATTTGCATGTCACCCTTGCACAGGGACCATGCTAATTAACTCTGTATCATTCCAATTTTAGTATATGCGCTGCCGAAGCGAGCACTTCATTTTATTCCTTAAATAAAGCTTTAAAGAAATACTGACTTTCTCATCTATAATAAATATTGATTAGACTAAGATGATTAAATCTTTTGCAGCTATAAATTTTCATAAGACAAACTCACATATCCAAGTGCTTTGTCAATATCTGTGCTTAGAAATCTAATCAGATAGATCTCAATGATAACATGTTAACATATCAAAAAAACAGCCTTTTAAATTTCCTCCACACATCTGCGCCTCATTTAGTCTACTCAATCTCAGAACATAGCAATTAGTCTAGCCCCAAATCCTGAAGTCTTCCTTTCTTTGTTTTATTCTTTATACCCCACACCCATTTAATCAGAAAAATATGTTGGTTCTTTCTTTAAAATAATCCTCACACTGACTACTTCTCTGTACCTTCGATGTTTATGCTCTGCTCTAAGCCATTATCATCTCTAGACTGGACCATTTGCACAGAGTACTGGTATGAGTTGAATTGTTTCCGTAAAGAGTTATGTTGAAGTCCTAACACCCCCGTACCTGAGAATGTGACCTTGTTTGGAAATAGAGTCTTTGTAAATGTAGTTGAATTAAGATGAAGTCATTAAAGTGGGCCTTGGTCCAATATGACTAATGTCCCTATAAAAGGGGAAATTTAGATACAGAGTCAGACAAGCACAGAGGGATAATGCCACATGAAGATGAAGGTAAACATCTCGATGATGCATCTACAATTCAAAGAACACCAAAGATTGCAAAAAAAATAAAATCACCATAAGCTAAGAAAGACGTATAGAACCATTTCTTCCTCTTAATGACCCTACTCTGCAGAAACCTTGATCACAGACTTCTGGCCTGCAGAACTTTGAGATAATAATTTTCTCTAGTTTCTCTTGTTTAAGCCACCCAGACTGTGATACTTTATTACATTAGCCCAATACAGGTACTAAGCTGTCTTCCTGCTTTCCACCCTTTGCTATGGTCTATTCCCTGACATGGTAGCTAGAAACAAATCTCTTCTAACATATTAGTGAAATCTTATTGCACTTTTATTAAAAACTCTCCCATATCTCCCCACAGGTTCCTGATCTACAGTTAAATTCTCTCTCCACTATTTTTTCTCTGATGTCATTTCCTGCCACTGTCCTCCAAAGCCAGTTTGCTCCGGTCAGACTGGTCTCCTTGATTTACTTCAAATGCATCAAGCACTTCTCATTTCAGGGATTTTACAATTGTTTCCACTTTTTAGTATGTTCTTTCTCAATATACCCACCTAACTATGGCTCTCACTTTCAGTTTCTGTGCAACTGTCATCTTTGTAATGAGTTCTTTTCTGTCCTTTTATGTAAAATAACACTCAACTCCTCTATTTCCCAAAGCTGCTCTATTCCTTTATTTTTTATAGTCTCTATCATTGTGTGACAATACAATATGTTTATTTGATTATTTATATATTTTTCATGAATTTTCTGAGAGCACCGTTGTTGTTTGTCTGTTTTTAATTTTTAGTACCCCAGTAACTAGAAGAATTCCTGGCGCATAAGAAGTGCCTAATTGTCATTCATTGGTTGATAGAAAAATCAAATTTGGAATCAGCAAATATGATTTTTGAGGTAAAAAAAGATTTAAAAATGGGGGCGATAAGAGCAAGTACGCATGGGTTAATTAGATATAAACTGGTATGAACTTGCAGCATTACATTCATGTAACCAACACACCGATATAAATGCCTTTTGTGAACCAAGTGCCATCCTATATGCTGGAGTTCCAAATATGAAGACAACGTTGCCTCTATATCTGGAATAGGTGAAAGGTCGACCGCAAAGCATAAAGATAGATTCAATACTAGAAGTGAAAACAAAGTCCTATGCTATCACAAATGGAGCACCAATTACTTTGGAACAAAGTACTTAAGGGAGGTTTCACAAAAAAGGGGATACTTAAGCCAGGCAGTTTGGGAAGTTTGGTGGTGGTAGTGGTAGCGGTGGTGGTGGTGGTGAGTGTGGCGGTGGTAGGTGGCATGCGGAAAGATATTTCCAGTTGCATGTGAAAGCACACGGTAGACTCATGCTGCTAGAAGAGGTGATATTCGTTAGCAGGTTTCTACACAGCTGTGTGTTCCTGGCTCCCTACTTCGCTGCTCAGCAGCCGACCCTCTCTGGAAACACTGGAATCTCCAACATCCAAGAAGTAAATCATAGGAGGCTTCTGCCTTTAGAGAAGTCCCAGATTCCCTTTATTTAAATGTTCCACAAGCCAATAAGACAGGAGTCCAATGAAGTAGGAGCTGAATTTTGACTCTTCAATTTAGCAGCTGAGCTGTACATCCATCTGGATCCTGCTGCTAGATGACTCTATATGACTGAATTCCAGCTTCCTCTGCCAGCAGGAGAGAGCCAAAAATGGAGTCTGGCCTCAACTTGTAAGATCTGACATACACATTTCTGTGTTTTTCCTTTCTATTATCGTAATTCCAAATATTTCACAACATTAATATCTTACTGTATCTTTTCTTGTTGTGAATATATAAGGCAGAAAGGCAGAGAGAGTTGGCGTCTCTTGATAAGCTTATCAATACCCATTGTATGGTTCAGGGTTTTTAAACTTCTCTTTGCTGATATTCAGTGTAATGTTAACCTTCACAACTGCTCTGTCTACACTGGCAAAATTGAATTTAACATACTTAATAAACTAGGAATTTTATTATTTCTGGGTACTAACCCCGGTTCTATAATTCATCATCGTATGTCTTAAAACAAGGCATTTAAACATTCTTTTATTATCTACATCTATTCAACAAGGAGCTTGGACTTGAGATTCATTGTTCCGTGATTCTAGAAAGTAAAAAAAAAAAAAAAGACTTCAAATGAAATTGAAAATAGTTTACAAGCACCATCAGTAGTTATTTGAAAGGCATTGAGTTTTTTTGTGTCCATTTATTTTAAATATTGACTTTTCAGATGTATGAATCCTCATGCGTTCTACTTCTCTGTATCTATTACTCATCAGCTGTCCCATCATGGTTAGAATACTGAATTTAAAGAATTTATAATTTTACATATAGAATTAATGGGGTGTGTGTGTGTGTGTGTGTGTGTGTGTCTGTGTGTGTGTGTGTGTGTGTGTGTGTGTGTGGGTTGTATGTCTCAGGCAGGGGTTAGTTAAATTAACTAGGGGCTGCTTTGCAAGTAAATCAAAGCGAGCTTTGGTCTTTCACCATAACTGTTATAAATATGAGCATGACTTAAATGGGAGGCTAGTGGTGATTTCACATTACTGCTACATTTAGCTGCTTTTAAAGATCTTAAAAAGTGTTAAAAAATTCCCTGTGCATGACACATCATTGTTTTACTGTGTTTGAAATGATAGACAATACTGACTAAAACCCTTTACTTTTATTTCCTTGATGGATGGAATCTTGTGCCTCTGTACCCCATTTTGATCCCAGCAAGGCTAAATGACTCTTAGATCACATGAGAGCAAATATTCATTCCCTCACAATACTCTCTCATTGCCCCCACTGCCCTGGTGGCATATTTAGCTACATTTAAGGTTTAGAATAATTTAAGATATATTTCTATGGAAACTAAACACAGTATATCTTCCTAGTGAAATATAAGTTCATTTAAAAAGAGAGTTGTTAGAAAGAACAGAATTTGGAGTAGAAGAATATATTTGGGTAAAAAAAAAAAAACAATGGTAACAATTACTAATTAAAAAAAGTTCAGGCATATATTGTTTATGTCTTTTTTGTTAAGAAAACATACTTTAATTTTCTTTTTATTTATTTTTGTTATCTTCCAACACACTGCATATCGATGTGATATCCAGTTTATAGTTTATATTTTAGAATATAGGAATCAATTCCTTTAAATTAAAAAAAATAGTGAATAAAGATTTTTTAAATTATACTTTTCAAAATCTAACATCATTACTAATACAATTTCAAAGAAGGATATTTTTTATTGAATTATAGTTGATATACAATATTCTATTAGCTTCAGGTATACAACATAGTGATTCTACATTTTTATGCATTATGAAATGATTATCATAAGTCTAGTTACCATCTGTCACCATACAAAATTATTACAATATTATTGACAATATTCTCTAAGCTGTATATTAAATCTCTGTGATTTTATTTATTTTATAACTGGAAGATAGTACCTCTTAATCCCCTTTTCTTATTTTGCCCATCTCCCCACACCTATCATCTCTGGCAATCATCAGTTTTTTCTCTGTATCTATGAGTCTGATTTTATTTTGTTTTATTTGTCCATTTTGTTTTCTAGATTCCATATATAAGTAAAATTATGTAAAGTTTGTATTTTTCTAGCTGACATATTTCGCTTAGCATAATACCCTCTAGGTACACCTATACTGTTGAAAATAAAAAGATTTAATTTTTTTGTGTGGCTGAGTAATATTC